TGTAATATATCAGATTATCAAAATTTTATTGTTTATTTAACGTCATGAATTGTTTTCTATACTTTCATATAAAATTTTCTTAGCAAAATACAATTTTGACATAAAAGTACATTCGCTGAACTCATTCATAGATAAAGTCGTGTCTGAGATCTACTTAAATGTAAATCTGCATTTTAAAAGCTAAAATTATTGTAAAATTTGTTAAAGAATGTATATATTATTATATATCAGTTTATCGAAAATTTTATTGTCTATTTATCGTTTTTAATTGTTTTTTATACTTTTATATAAATTCTCTTAGCAAAATGCAATTTTATCAAAAAAGTGCACTCGCGGTACTCATTCATAGATAAAGTCGTGTCTGAGATCTAATTAAATGCGAATCTGCAATTTGCAAGCTAAATTTAGCGTAAATTTTGTTAAATGATGAATATATTGTTATATATCACTTTATCGAGAATTTTATTGTCTATTTAACGTCATTATTAGTTTTTAATACTTTCATATAAATCTTTTTAGGAAAATGCAGTTTTATCAAAAAAGTGCACGCGCTGAGCCCATTCATAGATAGAATCGTGCCTGAGATCGAATTAAATGTAAAATCTGCACTTTGCGAGCTAAATTTAGCGTAATTTTTGTTAAATGATGTATATATTATCATATATCAGTTTATTAAAAATTTTATTGTCTATTTAACGTTATTAATTGTTTTTTATACTTTTATATAAATTGTCTTAGCAAAATGCAGTTTTATCAAAAGAGTACACTCGCTAAACTCATTCACAGATAGATTCGTGCCTAAAATCGAATTAAATGCAAATTTGCATTTTGCAAGCTAAATTTAGCGTGAATATTGTTAAATGATGTATATATTATTATACATCAGTTTATTGAGAATTGTATTGTCCACATAACGTCATTAATTGTTTTCTATACTTCTATATAATTTTTTCTTGCAAAATGCAGTTTCGTCGAAAAAGTGCACTCGCTGAACACATTCATAGATAAAATCGTGCCTAAAATCGAATTAAAACGCAAATCTGCATTTTGCAAGCTAAATTTAGCGTAATTTTTTTTATGAATATATATATATTGTTATATATCATTTTATTGAAAATTTTATTCTCAATTTAACGTCCTTAATTGTTTTTTTATACTTTCATATAAATTTTCTTTGCAAAATGCAAATTTATCAAAAAAGTGCACTCGCGGTACTCATTCATAGATAAAGTCGTGTCTGAGATCTAATTAAATGCAAATCTGCAATTTGCAAGCTAAATTTAGCGTGAATATTGTTAAATGATGTATATATTATTATACATCAGTTTATTGAGAATTGTATTGTCCATATAACCTCATTAATTGTTTTCTATACTTCTATGTAATTTTTTCTTGCAAAATGCAGTTTTATCAAAAAAGTGCACGAGCTGAACCCATTCATAGATTGAATCGTGTCTGAAATCGAATTGCAAGCTAAATTATCATAATTTTGGTTGAAGGATGTATATATTGTTATATAGTATTTGATTGGAAATTGTATTGTCTATTTAACGTCATCAATTGTTTTTCATACCCCCATATAAATTTTTCTCAGCAAAATGCAGTTTTGTCAAAAAAGTGCGCTCACTAAACTCAACAATAATACTATTAATTTTTAAGTCCGCTTGGTTTACTATAGTTTGCCGATTATTTATATATGTGTGTATGTCTACACGTGTGTAGATGTTTTCATAAAATGAGAAATATTTGATATACAGGCATCTGCATCGAGTTGGCAGACAATTATAAAGGAGAATGTTGAAATAAATTGGTTCCGCACTTCGTTTGCCGGATTAACTAATGGACAATGACACCTTTACGCACTAAAGCCAAAGGAAATCAACTAAATTACTAAATTCAACTAGATACATATAAATACACAAACGGAAAGGATGTCCCAGAACTCAACGTCGGGCCAAAATAAAGTAATAAAAAAATATTATACGTAGGCCGAAAATTAAGAGCTTTGTAAGTGCAAACTAGAGCTGTGGTGAAATTATTGACAATTTTTGGGTTATTGTGGTTAATATTTATTTATTTTATTAATTCAAAATTTGCATCTGTATTCGTGAATAACATTTCTAAAACCACGGTCAAAAATAATGACACGATTGCCCCAAGTTTTCAAGAATCAAGACTTTTTGTTAAAGTATGAATTTAAAATTTTCAAAATTGATCCCTTAGGGAGGTCATCCTTTAAAAAAAATGTACTAAAGTGTGTAGGCAAGTTTTATCAAAAGTTGGCGTATTTAATCAGGATTGTAAAATGGTAAATTACTTGATAACTTTTTATTGAAAGTTTCGAGTGAAAAAATAAAAATCTAAAAATAACATGATTTTTCCTAGTACATTTACACACAATCAGTTGAAATATTTCCCGCTTAGTGAACAAAATTAGTAAAAATTAACCCATGATAACCGAAAAATTGTCATACTTTTACCATGGCCTCAGGTTGCACTTAAAATCTCATACTCATAAAAAAATCCATAAAAATTAAATTACATTAAAATTACGAAATAACAACAACGTATAAATAAATAAAATCTCATATAAAAATAAAACATTCAAGAAAACGGTACAATATCACATTGAAACACAATAAAAACAACGAATAAAAAAATTGGTAAAAATACGAACTCTGATGGTAAAACGCCTCTTTTGTCCACTTTGCACAAAAACTTCATCCTTCGATGACAAATGACTGCCTACTTTCAAATCCACTTTGTGATTCTGGAAAATAAAGAAAAATTAGACTAAACACCGACAAGGTATTTATTTAATTTTTTACCTTTGGTGTGTATTTAAATCCGGTCCTTGATTTATCCTCTGTACTGATAATACGATTGCACTTTATAATTTGTTGAAGTTTTTTGGAAAATGCTTTTGAAGCTGCAGAAGCATTTTCTTTTCCTGTGCAAAGCTACAAAAGCTGTTCCATCTGTCAGCCAAAATACTTGGACAGTCCCTATAAAAAAATTGAAAAAGTTGTAGACATTTTTAGCTGATTGAGGATATAATTAAATTTTTACCGTATGCACTGAAGAGTTGAGAAACATCTGTAGTTTTCCATTCTTTGGGAAAAGTCACATGGAACACATGATTTCGTGATGGAACAACTAGAATAAATAAAAACATATAAATGGAATATATTGGTAATTATTAATTTTTTTTTTATTACCGTCTTTGCCGTTTAATTTCATATACGGAATGTCGTGTAATCGCATCAAGTGTATAGCATTTATAAACGGTGATATAACTTCTAAATCAAAACTCCAATTTTCATCTTCAGTATTTTTTAAATAATTAACCATACTCAAAAAACATTTGCCAGTGATGAAAGCATCATAGGCAGCCTCGTGCTCTTTGCTCTCGTTATCTTTGTAACCGAACTCTTTGTTATCCTGTTCTGTGAAAAATATAATAATTATTAATTAAAGTAATGAAAACTAGTTGGTTTGGTATTTAGCCTTGAGGCAAGTTACATGAACTTCCCGATATATTTAAATATCGACTTAATCAATAAAAAATTAATTTATGAGTCATTAAAAGTATTCCGAGTGGATTTATTACACATAATTGAAAACGAACGAACACTTTGACTCGGAGTATTTTCTAAAAGCAAATTTTCAAAAATCAATAATTTTTATAATTGAACCAGTTTTCAGGACTTTAATGATTTGTTATGTTCAAGACCAAGTACTCTATCATTATACCAAGTAAATAGTCTAATTTTAATTTTAACAAATATCAAAAGAGCTACTCATTTTCTCAAACTTTGATGAATTTTTAAAATCAAATTATTTGTCGTAAGGCCGTATTATTTCAGTAAGTTCTATAAGACCATGGTATATAACGCTAAAAAAAATTCCATAAAAATCGGCTTAAATTTTTTTTTCAACAGTTAATTACAAGAAAACGGTTCGGTAGATTTTCACCTAAAATTAATCAGTATCATTTCCAACTAATATCTTTCGAACAGTTTTTGATTTTTTAAAATCGGTTCGGTAGGATGAGCTTAAATGTGTACGAAAAGTTTAACACTTTTTTTCAAATTACAAAGAAGCGGCTTGGCAGATCGTCGCACAAAACTGACAATCGATAGTCTTCACCGAAATACTTCAAATGGCTTTTAAATTCCTGAATTCGGTTCAGGCGCTTTTGAGAAAACGTCGATCAAAAGTCTAATTTTGACAAATGTCAAAAAAACGATACAATTTTTGCAAACTTTGACGAATTTGTAAAGCTAAACGAGTTGTTGTAGGGCCGTAATAATTTAGTATGACCTAGAAAACTATGGTATCTACCGTCAAAAAAAAAATCATAAAAATCGTCGAAATTTTTTTTTTAAAAACGTTATTACAAGAAAACGGCTCGGCCGATCTTTACCAAAAACTAATCAGCACGATTCCCAACCAATATCTATCGAATGGTTTTTGAATTTTCAGAATCGATTCAGAATTGCGGGCTAAAACGTGGACTAAAAATTTTTCACTTTTCTGCAATTTACAAAGAAACGGCCCGGCCGATCGCCGCACAAAACTCAGAGACGATAGTCCTCATCGAGATACATCGAATGGCTTTTAAATTTTTAAAATCGGTCCAGCCGTTTTGAAGAAAACGTCGATTTACGGCAAAAAATCTGTTCACACAACACACACACACACACACCTACTTTTTCCAAATTTGTTCTCATTCGATTCAGAATGGCTTGAAACGTCGAGAAAACATAAAATTAGCGAATCGGATTTTTTGATGAAAACATAAACTTCTCTCCGGGAAGTTAATAAATTAATAAAATTGGTTTGGAGTATTGTATACTTGCCTATTGTAGGAATTTTAAAAGGCTCCTCTGAACAAGTCGCTAACAAGTGCCCCAAAACACTTGAGTTGATTTTATCTTTGAATACTGGTGCGTTTGATAAAACTTTTGTATCAACTATTCTAAAATATAATTTGCATAATTAATAATATATAATTTGCTATAAATAAAATTTTTATGTTACCTTGGGAACAAATCATGTACCAAATCTTTAAAATCTTGATAATCTTCAGGAAGAGGTCCAAAAAATTGTTTTATCATATGCATGATGTCCAGAAGCATATTGTGACCAACTATTAGTTTCCCTAAAAATATATAAACTATAGATTTGAAATTTTATATTTACTGAAATATTATACATACACTTTGGAAAGATATTGAATCAACCGACTTAACCCAACGCTTTCTTTTAATTCACGTTCCTCACGTTCTTTTCGTTGGGCTTCTTTTTCAGCTAATTGTTCTGGTGTTAAAGCCTTTTGTACTACGAGAACTACATTATGGTTTTCTAATGTTCGTGTTTCTAAAAATAACTGAAATAGGAAAAAATGTATTAAATAATACAGTATACATATATATATATATATATATATATATATACATAGGAATGTTTTATTACCTTATTTTTAAATCTTGCTTCAAGCTCTTGATACAGCAATCGTCTCAAAAATGAATTACATCGATCAAGTATTAATTCATTTTCTTCAGACTCCAAAAATTCTTCAACATTTTTACTGAAATCACAGAAAAAGATATTAATTATATTAATTTCAATAAATAAATTCCAATTATCAATTATTACTTTCAATTATCAATTATTATACCTGATTTTGTCCACAAATTCTTTATCAATATCAGGTACAGATATATGATTCTGTTCATTCAAATTCCCTTCCTCCCGCAACTTATTTTTCTCCTCCATTTGCTCATAAAGATAAGACTCCTCATCCTTGTCAAATAAGGAATACCATATCTAAACAGTTTGTTAAAATCAAAACCTTGTTCCGCAAGAAAGATCATTGAAGAGGTCTGGCTTAAAAAACTATAATTAGCAGCCTGTCGTCCGTGAGGTTTTGGAAAAGCATATGAGTTATAACATTTGTTTCGATAAGACTTGGTATCATCGTCGTATGTAAATATAGATAGTCCTAGTTGGATTAGTAAGTGGTCTTTTGAACCGGTTCTGAATTTTGTATAGTACTCGGTTAATGTATCAAAAGGTGTCAATTCTCTATAGGATGTGACGCCTGTGAATTCGCCATCAATTGATATAAAAGTAGCTTTGTCGATATCGTTTTGGATACTCGGAAGTAATTGTTCGAAATCTAAAATAAATATAAAAATTTAAGTTATACAAAATTTTGTAGGTTATGTTTGGTTTGTAAAATTGAGTTTTGAACTTACTTTCACGAGTTACGTCCATGTTGCACAATTATGTATAAAGTTTGATTATAAATCACATTAATTGCTGATATATAAAGTAATTATAGTAAAATATATAAAAATTAAATATTTAAATGCCGGGTGACAGTTATGTCCAAAGTTGACAGCAAACAAAACTTGTTTGCACCAACTTCAAGCCATTAATAAAATATAATAATATTAAATAATATATAATAAATTATGTATTATAGTTTTAGATTCCACATAAACTAATAATATATAAGTGTTTTGTTGTTAGTATAGTTTTAAATTTCGGGAAGTATTTGTTCAATATCTGAAATAAAAATTTTGTAGGTTATGTTGTGTTTGCAAATATATGTGTTGAATTAATTTTATATATTTATATATAGAAATATATTTATATACATAATATATTTAACGCTAATAATAATGTGCATAAACTACGTTTGTATAAAGTATTTAGAGTATAAATAAATAAAAAGTGAATATTTAAATGTTAATGACAGTTTGCCACAAGTTGACAGTTGACATTTGACAGTTCTCAAAACTTGTGCCCTGAAAACTGTGTTTGAAGTTTAAACTATTTTTACGTAATTTAATTAAGTCTTATTTTGTTATACATATATTTATTCTCTTAAAATTCTGTATAAGTCTCAAATTAGATCCGGAGCACCTCTTTACAAATTCCACCTTTGGTTCTTTGTGTTTAATTTGACATCTGTCACTTCAAGGCAATTCAAATCAGACTTATGTGTGAATTTTGCTTCTTATTAAATAAAAAAACGTGATATTTGTTATCAATGAATAAAAAACTCACAAATATCGTCTATACATTCAGATAATTATAAAAAACTGCACTATGCATGTATAATTTAAGTGTCAAACGCGACTGTAAAATAATGTTCAAAATGTTTGCTTGTGATTATTAATTATAATATGAATGACTCTTGTGCAATCAAGTTAATAGTTCAAGAAAATTCACAGCCGGCGAAGTAGTTGTCAATGTATCCTTATAAAATGTAATATACTACCTCAAATGTGTTATATTGTACTTAATTCTTACACTCAGATTTTAGAAACCCTGTCCCAAGCAAGTCCTTATCAAATCCTAAGTCTAGTCACCTACAAAGGCTCCAGTGCATGTTTTTCTTTCCTAAGTCTTCGCAGTCCCCCGTTGTCCTTTTCTGACCTAACCTTACAGACAGCAGTACCCATCGACAAACAACTCGAATGCAAAATTGGTATTTGTTATATTATTGTGAGTCACCTAGGTATGATTAAGTTCTCAAGAATGTTTTGATATTGTAGATGACCATCCAGATGGGACGGTGATATTAAACATTGTATCAAAGTATCAAATTACAGCACATGTGAAATCTGATACCGATACTGGGCAATTTGTTTCTGAAATATACAGAGCTCAAGAAGGTAAACAAAGGATTAATCAGAGATAAAAATGATGTCACAGAATTTTTTAGTCACATTTATCCCGATCATTTATTGTTTGTGCATCAAGCTATTAACACAAATAGTATTTCTTATAATTAATCATTAAAGCAACCACTATCCCTACTTAAACAATTTAAGATGCTAATTAGTTGCGTAAACAATTCCAAACAGTTTTTAGTTTACTCAATACTAATTAAGACACACATTATATTATGTATATGTGTATAAAAAATCTATTGGAATTTTTTACAGAAAGTTTTTACATAAGAGCAAAATAAAACCATAAACTTTATTTAAAACTATAATTTTTTAAATAGTGTTTTTAATTCAATGTGTATTATTATTATTATTGTTTAGGTTTTCGTGCCAGTGACAATTTTGAATGGCTGAAAAGTTATAGTGAGTCCCCAGAGAGCCCTGATTTGGCAGTTTTTCGACATCAAATCGTCAGGGGGGCTGATTTTATAGCACGAGACATGGCTGCTAAATATCATATGCAGATGAAGGAGAAGGAGTACACTTATAAACAACCTTATACGTAAGAAATGAAAATATAATAAATATTTTATATAGTAAATATCAGATTATGTGTGTATCTTGTTATGCTTTTTTATTTCGGACTTGCTTTGAGGCTTAATTAGAACTGATTTTCGACATTGCGTTGTTTTGAGTTCAATTTAAAAAGAAATTGCCATATTTTGTAATATATATTTTTTATTATATATTTTTATTATATATTTTAAATTTTGTTACATATTACATATTTTTAAATGAGATAAAACTGATTAAGGAAATGCTAGTTGTGTAGTTAACATTTATCTAATTAAAGTTGCAATTTTCTAATAAAATATAATATAAATAGTTCCACAAATATTAGACTTTTTTTTATCAACAGCTTTTTTTATTTTAATTTTGTTTCTCTTAACTTAATATCGATTTTTTTTATATATTTTTTTTTACCAACATTTTCCCATAATCTCATTGGTTAATAATCTGTTCCATAATAACAACGATTTTCACAATGGACGTCTATTGGTCGTAGCTACAAAAAATTAACCAATAGAACTGCTGCCTCGTTACAATCGATTTGATTGGATAATAAAAGTTACAAAAATGCATGATATAAATTTTTGAACCGTATTTCAATTCTACAGTAATTTTAATATAAAACAATTATAGATACAAATTTATGATATTATTTAAAATTGTAGATAATTTATTTATCTACAAGTTAGCTGAAAAATACTTAAGATAAAATTTCTTTCTAGTTTATAAGTTCTAAAAAACCCTTTCTATATTAATAAGATATATATTATATCCAAAAGCGTGCTATAAGAATACACTTTGTAAAAAGAAAATTGAACAAATTAAACATTTGAAGAGCAAAAGTAATATAAAATTTTCTCACTTAAACACAAAGTACAAAAGAACGTATTCAGTTATTTATTTATTAATTTATTTAAAGCCCATTCAATTGGTTTATAAATTATATTTTTTTTATATTATCAGAATATTTGTGGGTACATGGAATGTAAACGGTCAACCACCACCCCCAGTTTCACTATCACCCTGGTTAGCAAGCGATGTGGAGCCCCCTGATGTTTACGTGGTTGGTTTTCAGGAACTAGATTTATCTAAAGAAGCCTTTCTATTCAACGATACCCCCAGAGAAGAAGAATGGAGGTATTATATTTATATATATATATATATATATATATATATATATATATATATATATATATATATATATATATTATTACAATGTCTTTTACTATTTCAGTGCAGCTGTAATGCGATCTCTACATCCTGGTGCAGTTTATGTGAGACTTAAAGTTGTACGGCTGGTAGGAATTATGCTGATATTAGCCGTTCAGGAAAAACATAAACAGCATGTACTTTTAGAAGAAATATTTGTGGATACTGTTGGCACTGGAATTATGGGTAAAATGGTAATTGAATAACAAAGAGCAAAAAATTGTGTGTAGAAGACCTGTTAGTTTTGTAGAAATTAAATAGAATGTTTTCAGGCACGTTACAATATTTTTATATAATCTATAACATTTTTAGTAATTTTAGACAAATTTCTGCAATTATAGACAATATTTTTTAATTTTACCCAATCTTCTATAATTTTAGACAACTTTCTGCAATTTTAGACAGACAATTTCAAAGTTTGACGATTTTTTTCATCATGTTTTTGTTCCAAAAATTGAAAATCGTTATATGCAGTTATATAGAAAATTTTATAAGCTTTTAATCCATATAAATAAACTATATGTATTTTGACAAGTTTTTGCACGTTTTAAACAAAAACCCCAACTAGCTGTAAGTGGAATTCTGTCTTAAGGCAATTAGGGCATCGTGCCTTAAGGAAAATTGCTGGAACTTCCCGTACCAAAAATTATTATTTTTTTAAAAACGATTAACATTTTTGAAGAAAATTTACTTCGAAAAAATAAGATTTTTGACGAACAATTAGACAAAAAATTACTTTTTTTTTTTTTTTTTTTTTAAAAAAAAAAATGTTTTTTTTATTTTGACATATTTTGAAAGATCTAAACTTTTTTTTCAAAGCAATCGTACTGCTTTAACTGCATAAAGACGAAATATCAAACCGCGTAAGCGCCGCGTCGCTGTCTAACGCGTAAACATTGGTACGGAACCCATAGGAATGTAAACCAAATTTATACTTATTGTTAAAATCTCTATAAAATATCTAATAATTTGATGTGCATATGTCTAATGATCATTTTTGACCGCCAAATGGCATTTTTTTTACTTTTTTTATTAGATCTCCGAAACCGCTAGACCTGCCTTTATGAAAATTTGATCGGTTTTTTCACCTTGTTAATACAAGTAAAATGTTTTTTGAATTATTAAAATCGGACGCTCCGTTCTCTTAAAAACTGAGTTACCGTTTTCGCCACTTTTTGCTCCGTATCTTCGGAACGGATAGACCTGACTTCGCCAAAAACTAATCAGCACGTCTCCTTGTCAATACGAATCGAATGTTTTTTGAATTATTCAAATCGGTTGATCGGTGTTCCCGAAATCGTCGACGAAAATTTGTATCCGCACATACATACACACACGCACACACACACATACACACACACACACATACACACACACACACATACATCCATTTTTTCTAAAGTATGCCAAAATATTCAGAAACCTTTGAAACGTCGAGAAATGCAAAAAATTTTCATTTTCGATTTTTTTGCGATTACTATAACTTGCCCTACGGGAAGTTAAAAACGTACAAACATTTCGTTCGCCAAGTTATACGATTTTTTTCGTCGTATTTTTGTTCCAAAGTTAAAAATTAGTAAATGCATTTGTGTAGAGAATTTTCTAAGCTTTTCATTTATATAATACAATATATATGTATTTTAACAAGTTTTTGCGTTTTAAACAAAACTCCAAAAGCGTACAACATTTCGTTCGCCTAGTTATACGATTTTAAAGTTTGACGATTTTTTTCGTCGTATTTTTGTTCCAAAAGTTAAAAATTAGTAAATGCATTTGTGTAGAGAATTTTATAAGCTTTTCATCCTTATAAAATAAAATTTATGTATTCTAACAAATTTTTGCATAACATTCTCAGACAATGTTTGAAATACATCCACTCACTTTGCCTCTTTCAATTCCCAATGGACCCTCTAGAAGTTTTACTTCAAATATTTTTTTTAAATTTTTTAGGGCAACAAAGGAGGAGTAGGTCTACACGTAGAATTGCACAGAACCACTTTATGTTTTGTCAATAGCCACTTGGCAGCTCATCTTGAGGAATACGAGAGACGAAACCAAGACTACAAGGATATTTGCAGTCGTATGAGGTTCAATCAAAATATCACCCTGGACCAACACGAGTAAGATAATAAAATATTTTTCATTACAACCAAGTAGTTATTTATAAATTTTTATGTCTATTCAACAGTCAAGTCTATTGGCTAGGAGATTTGAACTATCGTATCACTGATTTGGATCCTGATCATGTAAAAATCTTATTAGAAGCAGAAGACTATTCAACTTTATTAGAAGCTGATCAATTACGCGTCCAGCATTCTAATAAAAATGTTTTTAATGGCTATGAAGAGGGCCAGATTACCTTTAAACCTACTTATAAGTATGATCCGGGGACTGATCAATGGGATTCTAGGTAAATGAGAATTTGGGATAAGTGATTTGTGGACTTGAATAGTAATTATTTTTCTGGGTTTTTTATTAGTGAGAAAAATAGGGCTCCAGCCTGGTGTGATCGTATTTTATGGAGGGGCAATGATATTAAACAAATTGCTTATAGAAGTCACCCGCAGTTGAGATGTAGTGATCACAAGCCTGTCAGTGCACTATTTGAATCACAAGTAAGAATTGTAATATATAAATATATTGAAAATTGGTAAATGCAGTTGTGTATAGAATTATATAAGTTTTTTATCAATATAAAATAAAATTTGTGTTGCTTAACAAGTTTTGCACATTTTAAATAAAAACCCCAAAAGCGTACAAACATTTCGTTCGTAAAATTATACGATTTTAAAGTTTGACGATTTTTTTCGTCATAAAAAGTTGAAAATTGGTAAATGCAGTTAAGTAGAGAATTTTATAAGCATTTCATATGTATAAAATAAAATATACGTATTTTAACAAGTTTTTGCAAATTTCAAAAACCTCAAAAGCGTACAAACAATTCGTTATCCAAGTTATGCAATGTTAAAGTTTGACGATTTTTTTCGTCATGTTTTTGTTCCAAAAGTTGAAAAATCATAAATGCAGTTGTGTTGAGAATTTTATAAGCTTTTTATCTATATAAAATAAAATATATGTATTCTAACAAGTTTTTACAAATTATATATAAGAATTGTAAAAAAATGAAACATAAAGATCTCAACTTTTATTGATCAAGACACAAATTAGAAAGTTTATGCAACTGGCCTTAAGGCAAAATGCCACTTACACCTAGCTATTCATTATTTTCGTATGTAAATTCACTAAATTTATTGTCAAATATATTTGTGTTTTTTTTTGAATTAATAATTCATTTAATATATATGTATAACATTATCTTCTATATATATAAAAATAAGTCGGGTTTCCTTTCTGACGAAATAACTCCAGAACGCACGAACCGATTTCAAACAATTTTGCATTCATTGGAAAGGTCTCGGGTTCCGCAAGGTTTATTGCTAAGAAAATTAGTTGTGCATGGCATCGTGCCTTAATGCAAGCTGCTGGAACTTCACGCACTGTAATTAAAAATTCAAGTAATGACATTAGTGAGAATTATCAGAATTATGCTTGGTTAAGTCAATGAGCAATTTTTTCCGTAAAGAATAATGATGTACACACACTGAATTTCACCATTCAATCAAAAATTGCTGGCGATTTGGTGACATACCAATGATTCCGACTGGTCTTCCGTTTGACTTCAAACGATTGCAATTTCCAGTTCGCCTTGCGTTCGCAATAACAAGTCGCTTAGTGTTTGCGGGATAAATTTCAAATAGATTATTTAGAAAATCATTGTTTTTAACATGGGCAGTTATACGTTGCCTGTTCACGAGTTGGAAAACTATCCGCTTTGTTTGTGTTAACATCAGACCAAAAAAAAAAAATGTGGTTTATCAAAGAGCACTTCATTGAAACGGATAATTTGAGGATTCACTTTCATTTACTTAGAGAAGTTCAACTAAAAAACACAACATTTTTGTAATCGAAATAAATTCATTACTGTTGTATAATAAAATCAAATTTTTCCTATTCAAATATAAAACAAACAAAAAATTTCTTCATCTTTCTCACGAAACCATCTGGTGGCGAAACGGAGTTTGTCGGGTTCGCTAGTATATGTATAAAATTATTTGCTAATACAATTTATAACATTTATTTCACATCATTTATATTATTTAAAACTTTTAAACTAATTGTGCAAAACTAATAGTATATTTATTTATTTTATTTTATTGCTGAATTAGTAGAAAACTGTTTAAAAATTAATATTTACTAATAGTATAAGGCTCTGTCTAGAACAACTCTCTATACTTATAAATGATGAAATATTTTTGGTTATAATTTTTGCTTACGAAGTCAAACTATTATAAAATATTATTTTTTATAATAAAATAGAATAAAATATAAAATGCCACTTACATCTAGTTCTTTACCACTTTTCAGATGGTTGTAGTTGATGAAGCAAAATATAGAAAAACACACGAAGACGTTATGAAGCAATTGGATAAATTAGAAAATGAATTTTTGCCTCAGGTAATTTAATTTAAACATATTTTGTTTAAACAAATAAATTCTAAATTTAATTTTTCAGGCAACTGTAGATAGAACAGAAATAGATTTCGGTGACTTATACTTCATGGAGCCTCGTTGTCAAGAATTAACAATAGCAAATGTAGGACAAGTGAATGTTAGATTTGAATTTATTAAAAAATTAGACGATACTAGTTTTTGTAAAGAATGGCTACATGTAGACCCATATACATATACAATTAAACCAGGTAAAAAAAATTATTATCATTTTTGTTATATAAATCAATTAAATCTTAATTTTGTTCCTCAGGTGATAAATGTGATGTACGTCTGACTGTGATGGTTGATAAAAGGAGCGCTTGTAAATTAAATTGTGGCCAGGATAAACTTTATGATATATTAGTTTTGCATTTGCAAAAGGGTAAGATATATTTATAACGATAGCAGGGAATTATCAAAGGAGTTGTTTTGGGACTTCTATAGAAGCTTTGGTGCAGGTCAATGTTCCTGTACGGGAACTAACACCTAGTAATCTTATCGAATTGGTAAGGGAAAATGATAAATGATTTTAAATATATATATATATATATATATATATATATATTTTAAAAAATTGCATCAAAGTCTTGAAGGAATAATTAGTAGAGATGATTTAATAAATGAAATAGATGTAATTTTTTCCTAAAATATTTTTTCCTGTCGCCTCATTGGTTACTAATCTGTTTCCTAATACACAACGACTTTCCCTAATGGCGTAAAGTGAGTGCCTATTGGTCGCACCTGTAACAGATTAACCAATGGGATTGCATCGTCATTAAAAACGTTGTGATTGGATGAAAAAAGCTACAATAAAACATTTTTAAACTGTTTTTCAAGTTCTACAGTAATTTTGATATAAAACAAATGCATATACAAAACTTAGCTGTAAGTGGAATTCTGTCTTAAGGTAATTAAGGCATCGTGCCTTAAGGCAAATTGCTGGAACTTTCCGTACCAAAAATTATTAATTTTTTAAAAACAATTAACATTTTTGAAAAAAATGTACTTTGAAAAAAATAAGATTTTTGAGAAACTATATATATGGACAAAAAATTACTTTTTTTTTGAAAAAAAATTTTTTAAAAAAAAAATTTTTTTAATTTTTTTTTTTTTTGAAAAAAAAATTTTTTCCTTTATTTTGATATATTGAGGAAGATCTGAACTTTTTTTTTCAAAGCAATCGTACTGATTTAACTGCATAGGGACAAAATATAAAGCGCGTAAGCGCCGCGTCGCTGTCTAACGCATAAGCATTGGTACGGAACCCATAGGAATGTTAACAAAATGTATACTTATTGTTAAAATCTCTATAAAATATCTGATAATTTGATGTGCATATGTCTAATGAT